CCTGGTCCAGGCGCTCCCGCGCGGTGCTGTCCTCGGGGCTCGGCGCAGCGGTGGGGGCCGGGGGCCCGGTGGCCGCGGGCTCCTGGGCTGGGCTGCTGCTCTCCACGGGGTCTTCTCCTGATGGCAGCTCAGCGGGCTCGTTCCACAGGGTGGGCACGGGCTCCTGCGGGCCCTCGGCTGCAAGGCCAAGGACAGAAGCTGGGGCCCAGGCAGCACTGCCCACCAGGACGTGCTGTGCTCCCGCAGCTGACCACCTGGGAAGGTGGGGCTGTGTGCATGGGCCCTGGGACTCAGCACTACACTAGCCCTCCCGTGTCACAGATGAGACAAGCAGGCTGAGAGGCCACTTGTGGCCCCAAGGCCCCCACTGGGGCCAGGCTGCCTCCAAGTGAACACAGATGGTTGTGGGGAAGGGGAGTAGAGACAGGCTGCCTTAGAAAGCAGCAGTGAGGGCAGACCAGGGGGACATGGGCAGGTCGCTGGCTTCCAGCAGAGCCTGGGGTCCCCCTCTGAACCAATGGGCTCTGTGGGCCTGGGTGAGGCGACACGTGAGGGGCCCCTACCCGTGACGGGCAGGCACAGGCACCCGTGAAGGGCACCCTGAATAAGAGGCCAGGAAGGTGAAGCCCCAGGGTCCCTGCCCACCCCGGGCCCCAGGAGAATGGAGGGTGCCACTGTTGCAGGGGATGGAGGGGAGAGGCCCACCTGCACCCCAGGGGAGTCAGCCCTGCTCCTCTGCCTTGGCCTTCACCTGGAGAAACCCATGTGGCCCATAGGACATGGGGGCCAGCACCCGCACTGTCCCATGTGTGTGAGGCTTCAAGCCCAAGGGGCCTCTATACCCTAAGGGACTGATGGCAGTGCGTTTCTGTCTCCAGAGAAAAAGGGCCAGAAGAGTGGGCAGGGGTGTCTTTGGTCTGTAAGAGAACCCCCAGAAAAGAGTGGGTGCCTCCCTGCCCCCATTACAAGCCGAGTTCAATCAGCACGTCCCCTGAGCAGCCTTTTCTGCAGGAGCCTTTCTCTGCTCATGGGTTGGGGGTTAGTCGGGTTTGGGGTATCCAAGGGCCCTAGAGAACTAAAGGAACAGGCTGAGAGACCTATGTGATAACCCTGGGCCCGTACCCCGACCTCGGCCCCAAGCCTGGGCCTGTCCATGCTTCCTGGACAGAAGGTCCCCGCCGCCCAGTGAAGTTCCAGACCAGGTGGCAAGCAGGCTCCAGGCTCCCGACCAGCCCTGACCGTCGGCTTTAGCAGGGTCAGGGCCCTCAGCCTGGTCCTGAAGGTGGTCCAGGGCTGCTCCGGAAGACACAAGGGTATTTCCCAGGCTTTCCTGCCAACAGAGCCCACCTGGGCAAACCAGAAGGAAGCATCAGCCAAACCAAAATTCAGGGCCAGTCTTAAAATAACAGAAGTTTCAAAAATGTCAAAGCCATGAGAGACACAGAAGGTGGAGATGTGACAACTAAATGCAGTGTGTGTTCCTGGATGGGGACAGTTTGGGATCCGCTGGTAAAATCTGAGTAAGGCTATGGTTTAGATAACAGTACTGCATCCAGGTTCACCCCCTGATGTGGACAATTAACTGGTTACATGACAGAATATCCTTGTTCTTGGGCATATTAGGGGCAAAGGGACACATCTGCAACTTACTCTCAAATGGCTCAGTATTCAGATAGGCAGGTGTGGGTAGATAGAGACAGGAAGACAGAGAGCAGATATGGCAAAATGTTGGTAACTGGTGAACCTAAGTGAAGAATCTACTGGAGTTCACTGGATTATTTTTGCAATTGTTCTACAAACTTAAAATCTTTTTATGATAAAATTTTACGAGGCTCCCCAAGTCCTGCCCCTTGCAGCCTCTCCCAGGCCTGGGCTGGCTCAGTTTGGAGGCTTAGCTTGCAGGCAGGAACCACTGTTCCATTTTCCAAAGCCTGCCCAACTTGTACCCTTTTTCATTAAACACCCCTGGCAAGGAGGCCTCCAAGGGCTAAAGGCTCCAGCACCCGGTGGAAGGGGGTCAGCGGGGAGCTGTCTGCTCACAGGGCCCAAGGCTCAACTGCAGTGCTGGGGCTGGGTGTGAAGTTGTCCCTGTGAAAAGGGACAAAGTGACCCTGTCAGGCCTCCCTTGTCACTGCCTGGGAAGGCAGGGGTCTGCAGCCTTGTAGCTGCTGTGGCAAGCTCCAGGCGCCAGGCATGCTGACCTCAGGCTCCCGGGGGCTGGGCAGAGTGAAGGCCTGAGTGTGGCCACCGCTTGGCAGGCCCTGAGGTGCAGGGCTTGCAGACTGCCTGTCTCCCCAGATAAATGGAAAAACCACTAGCCCCTGCTTGTTCCCCGCGAACCCAAGGCAGGGCGGCAGGCAGGCACACCCTGTCCCAGCACTACCGGCCAAAGCTCATGTCCGACTGCCAGGGGTCCGGCACGGGGCTCCCGGGTACCGGCCCGGCTGGCCTGGGTGGCATCTAGGGGAACCAGTTCCCAGCTCAGGAGTGACAGGCACCGCGGCCCCTGGGAGGAGAGGGACTCACCCCTGGAGCTAGCCACCGTCTGCCCTCTGCCGGAGCCCGGGAGCCATCTCTGAGCAGGGCAGCTGGGAGGTGCACCCAGGCCCTCTCTGTCCCCTGAGACCAGCCTCACTCTGCTACTCCCCACAGAGGCCCGGCTCCTCCCTGCCAGACACTCGGGCCCAGGCTGCCTTGTCCTTGCTAAGTGTACCCTCCTGCAGCCCCTCCTCCCAGACCCGACCAGTCCCTGAAGCTCGAGGGGCTCAGCCCATGGGCTTCCAAACCCAGGGGGCTGGGTCCAGAGCCTGGCTCCATCACACTTTCGCCTGGGACCCTGGCAGTTGGATTTGCCCCGCCCCTCCTTCGTTTTCCTGACCTGTGAAATGGGGTTAGACCATGCCTCTCACAGCCCACACGAGTTGGTAACTGTCCTCACTGCCGTCATGGGCTGCCGCCGCCCTAGAGTACCCACAGTGTGATCTACACAGTGGGACGCCAGCTAGGCCACTGCACGTGGTTGTGACTGCTGCAACTGACCGTCACGGGAGACCCCCAGAAGCTGGTCCAAGGCTAATCTGTGTGAAAGCAGCCAGGGCCCCAGGGGCCAGCTAGCTCCCTGCTGGCCCAGGCAGGCACCCCAGCAGCAGCCTGGACTCTGTCACCTGCCTTCAGCAAAGGAGCTGGAGCCACCAGCGAGGAGCTAAACCGTTTCCTCATCTACATGTCTCTAAATTTCTCAGTTTGCCGTAGTATGAGGGGAAAAGAAAGTTTAAAGGCAGGAACACACCCTCCCCCAAACCTATCCTTCTGGGAAGCCATGAACAGGCGCAGTTGTCAGGAGTTTGTCAGCAGCAGGCCCTGTCTGAGGAGGGGTGAAGGAAAGCCAGGCAGAGGGACCAGCACGAGCAAAGGTGCAGAGGATGGAAGCCACGATGTGTAAGGCGAGCTGCGAGCCAGTGACGTTGACAGAGGAGGAGGACCCACGATGAGCCCCAAACTCCGAGGACCAGAGTAAACAGCATGCTGTGACTCTACACCCTGACCGAGGAGACCAGGAGATGTGGGGCCTCGTGACCCAGGCCTGGGCACCGCGGGCTCGCCCCCAGCCCTGCCGCCCCCAGCCCCCCTGCCTTTCGGTAAATAAGTTTGTTCAGCGCTCACTCCGGCCACGGGGCCCCGAGCCCAGGCGCCCGCGCGCACAGACGGCCTTTGTGCAGGCTGTGAAGGGCCTTTTCATCCCTGCCCTGGCCTCCCGCCCGCTCAACCTGGCCTGTTCCCCCTGCCCCAGTAGCTGCGGCCACAGGCGACCAGTGGGGAGGGCAGCAGCCCGGCCTGGACCTCAGCCACAGGGCCACTCCTTCCTGGCCTGTGGGCTGCAGGACCCACTGCCCACTGAGCAGCAGGCAGGGGGCCGCCGGGTCTCGCATACGCCTCCCAGAATGGCAGGAAGAGGGACAGCCAGCCAGAACCCCCAAAGACGTCAGGGTGGAGTTGGCCTGTCTGCTCTTGTTAGGACACGTGGAGGGAGGTGAGGCCAGGTGAGATCCAGGAG